CAGCGCCCTGACCTGTTTCAGCTTAGTCCAAACAGATGGGCACATGTGATTTTTGTAAACAAAAGCAGTTCATGTTTTGGTCACTGGGCATTAGTTGGAGATGTTCGTATGGGTTGTTTAAACATTTTGCGGCTATGTTCCAAGCGTTTTGCTATAATTCTCTTAGTTTTTTGTGCTTTTGTATTGTTTTTATATAAAAACATGGATCTTAAGAAAGAGTTGTGTTTTTTTAAAAGAATCATCATGATAAGGAGCTGGTTAACTGTGTTATTGATATTGTTGATGATAATTTAGTCAACCCTTTTAGAAAACAGTTAAGGAAACGCCAACAGCAGACCACATTAGACAGAATTTTTTTGTTTTTAGAGAAAGCCAGCCAGGTCCTAGTGAAAAAAGGTAAAGAAGGGAAAAACCTCCTGAAAGCAGCTACCATTTGATTTTATGGAAGGGTGACTCTCTCTCCATACCTCCTCTCCACATCCATGTCCACAGATTCAGATCCTCATCAATCTCAAGGTATGGGCCATACTGTAGTTGTTAAAAACGTTTTTCATGTTGTGTTTCTTATTTAACTCTGAACTTGTTTACTTTAAAATGTCTATGTACTGTTTTGTATAAAAAGGCAAGTTTAGGGTGAAAACTTGGTGGTTGAGAATGGATTAATCTGTTTTCTGTTATTTCTTATGTGAAAAATTGATTCATAACTCAACTGCATAGTATCTTGATGCTCCTTCTAGAAAGGATTAGCGTTGAGATCTGGGGTTCTGCTGTATATTCATTGGACATTAGCAATGATATTCCTTATTTCAAGTTCCCTTCTGAATCTGACTTAAATTCCCAGTGTTCTCCTGCCAATGTACTATTGCAATTATTTTTTCCAATTTTAAGTATATTGTTTTATAATTTCTATGTTCTTTTGGATCACTTTTCTTTGAAATTCACACAAATATATATTACCTCCAGCAGGTTGTCCAGGTTTGACAAATTTCTTGGCATACATGAGTGAGAATTTCCTGCACTGCGTCTGTTTGTCGAAATATCTTAATTGGTACTACACCAGTTTTCTTTAATTTGTTTATTGAAACCATTTTATTGCCATATAATTCACATGCATATAATTCAGTGATTTGAATATATTTTAAAAATAGTTGCGCAGTCATCACAATCAATTACAGAACAGTTTCTTTGTTTTTGTACTCATTATTATTTGTTCCTCATTTTCCCCCAACGTCCTTTCTGATAACCCTAAGAAGCTCTTAATAGAGTTACTGTCTCTATAGATTTATCTGTGCTAGATTTCGTACAAAGAAAATCATACCCCAAAATAATAATTACAAAAGATAACACAGAAAAATCTTGATCCAAAAGAAAGCAGATAATACAAATTAGAAGAAATTTTCAAATGCATCCAAAGGTATAACAAAGGCTAAGGTGTTAAAGTTTAACCTAACTACATATATATTAATTCACTTTCTGGTACACTCTGTCTGAAAAGGTTACTCAATGCCTTGGTTAGAGGTCCCCGGGAATTCATGGAAGCGTAATACCGATGGGGAATCTGCAAAATGTGTTTTCGACTATCGTGATCATCCATAGCCTCCTGAAAACTGGAGTTTAGTATTTGTATGCTTCCCTCTTCACTCTTGGATTTTATTATTTTCAATCCTTGGATCACACGGACTGATGTTCTTCTTCCATGTGGACTTACCTGACACATCACTTAGCTGGCTGCTTGCTTTAAGACAAGCTTTTAAGACCCCAGACCCTTCTTTCTGATAGCTGGCCAGCACCTTATTGCTTCACCAAAATTTGCTATAGCACCCATGTATTCAGTCATCCCTTCATGAGTATAATTATCAAGCAGGGCTACATTGCTAATTGCTGTTTGTTTAGGGCTTACAGTTAAGTGTGGCCTCAAAATTGGAGCCTTGTTTTTAGCCAGTGCATTTAGTACTGCTAGGACTTCTTTGTGGACCATTGTTCTCTTGATTCTCCTGAAATAATTTAAAATGAACAAGTATATTTGGTAAAGTGACTGCATATTTCTTCCTTGTTTTTATGGGTTATTCATATTTGGTCCACAGAATCCTTAAATATTGATACTCTAGACTTGATTTTTTGTTTTGTTCAAACTTTCAGCTTGAGAAATAATGAGCTTGTTCATCCATTTTGGTATTCTAACTCTAGGTCTTTGCATATTTCATTATACTTTGTTTTCTCAAGTCACTCTTTGAAATCTTTTGTTTGGGTCTCTTCAATATTTCTTCTATACAGTTTAGCTACTCTATATTCAAGAGCAAGTTTCAGAGTAATTTCTAAGATCCATTTTGGTGTTTTCTTTCTTCCTTGTTTATTTAATGATTTATTTATTTCTTCATTTATGATGTCATCCCAGAATTCATTTTGAATGAGTCAAATCTATTCCTTTGATATTTAAATGAATGTAGGATGTATCTAAGATGGTATTTTGGTCATATGTACTATGGTTAATTTTCTTCAGCTTCAACTTGAACATATATATGAGCTATTATTATCTGATATGCAATTTGCCCCTGGACTTATTCTGACTGATGAACTCAAGCATCACCACTGTATGATGCCAAAGGTATAGTCAATGATTCTTATATATTCAAGCTGGTGAGGTCCTTATGTATAGTTACTATTCATGTTGTTGAAAAACATATTTGCAGTGAATAAGTTGATGGTCTTGGTAAACTTCACATGTCATTTTAGGTATCAGTTTTATAACAAGACCATATTTTCCAGTAGTATTCAGCGCATCTTGATTGCATGCTTGAATATTATTCAATATATATATGAGAAATTTGTCAATTTATTCACTGTTGGCATTAGTGGTCAGTGCAGAAATCTAAATAATAATATTAACGGATTTCTTTGTAAGCATATGGATATTATCCTATCAGTGAGCACATTTTATTTCATAAATCGTGAAACATTCTTTTTGACAATGAATGTAGCAATATTTCTATACAATTTGTCCAATTCAAAGTAGCCATAGACAATAAATGTCAGTTCTCAGATGCCTAGGATCATATTTAGAGTAGTTTATTTAACAATGTAATTCTTAACAATTGAATCTCAATCGTAATTAGTATTATCTAGATTTCTATAGAATTTTGCTCTATTTATCTTTCACTCTGGAGTATTTTTATGCCTAAAATTTATAGTGATGAAACATACAGGGTAATGTCAGAAATAAATATTTACAACTAAGAAATCTACTGTTTGACGTTGACTACAGTTGAAGTTATGCACTTCCAGAAAGTCAAATAATAAATTTCCTAATCTTGAAAGATCTGTGTCATGACAAACCATGCATAGCAGTGGGAAAAAATAAGAGAGCGAAAGAGAGAATTCCAGAGCACTTCATTTTGCTCCTGCAGAACCTAAACATGGACCTAGATGCAGTTATTCAAACAGAACAAGGGAATACTGAACGATTTAGAATCAGGAAAGGTATGGAACAGTCCTGTATCCTCTCACCATATGTGGTAGTTACATAATCTGGTTTCAACTTGAGATTATTAAGAGTAAAGGAGTGGAGTTTGTCTGTTAATCATGTCCCGGCTTGATGACATCATTTGCATGGGCTACAGAGATAAATAGCACACTGGAGGCCAGACCCACACACTCTGTTTCATCTTCCTGTTGACAAGCCACATGGAGACACACTGATGGAGCCAGAGCCCTGGAGTGAGAGGAGCCATCTGGAGACCCCTGTCAGCGCTGAGATGCTTCCATCACCATTGAATCCACTAGATTTTCCAGCCACTGGCCTGTGATCTTCCTGCATTCAGCTTCATTGCATGTGCTGCATGAATCTGAAGAGGAATTTCTAGATTGGTATCAGACATATGGGTTAATATCGGACTTATGGGTTTGATCTGGACTGGGCTGGGATGTCCTCTCTATGTACAATTGCTCTTTATATAAAGCTCTTTCCTATACATATGAGTCTCCCTGTGTTTGTTTCCCTAGTCTACCCAGACTAACTATGGTGTACAATTAATTCAAAAGTTGGGCATTAAATAAGAAAGACTGAAGAATTCAGGCATTTGAATTATGGTGTGGGGGAAGAATATGGACGTCTAAAAGAATAAACAAATGTGCCTTGGAAGAAGTACAGCCAGAATGGTCCTTGGAAGCAAAGATGGTAGACTTTACACCACATGCTTTGGACATGCTACTCAGAGAGACCAGTCCTTTAAAAAAAAAATCAATATTGGTAATGTAGAAGGGCAGTGAAGAAGCTGAAGACCCATGATGAGATGAAGTGAAACACTGGCTGAAACAATTGGTGCAAACATAACAATACTGAGAATGAAGCAGAGCATTGTAGCATTCTGTTCTGTTATACATAGATAGGGACTCTTCGAGTTTGAAACAACTTGAAGGCTCTGAACAATAACAACAGCACAGTGTGAAAATGAGTGCAGTTGAAGTTACATACTTCTAGAAAGTAAAATGCTAAATTTTCTAATCACGAACTATCTATCTACATAATAGGGTAAGTGAAAACATATATTGCTACTATGGTTCCAGTTCATACATCCATGTGTTTATTCCAAACAAAATGTGTTTAAAGTTGATTTTGAGATCTGTGAATGGCTACACAAAAATTATCTCAGTAATATATTTGTCTTAGTCTTATTTTTATTGTTGTTAAATGCTGTCAAAATAGTTAAGACTCAGAATGACCTTATATACAACAGCATGAAACACTATCATGTCGTACTCCATCCTAAGTATTGTCAGGTTTGCCCCCATTGTTCCAGGTGGTAATATATATATAATCTGTTGACCCTCTATTTTAACAAGCATGATATCCTTTTCTAGAGATTGGTATTACCTGATGACATGACCAAAATGTATGAGACAAAGTTTCACCCTCTTTGCTTCCAAAGAACATTATGGCTATATTTCCTACACAACAGAACTGTTTGTCTTTTGGTAGTCTATAGTACTTTTTTTTTGGAGGGCAGTTCTCTTTATTGCTCTGGGCCAGGGGTGCTCAGGAGCTCTTGATGGGGTGAGTCCGCTTCCTCTTCACCATCACAGGCTTCTGGCTGCGTAGGATGGCACTGGCTCTGCGGATAGCAGCCATGCGAAGGTCAGGGCGGTACTTGTTCTTTCGGATCATGTGCCGGATGCTCCTGAGTGTGGCCCGGGGGTTCTTGTTAATGGTGGTCCGAACATAGGAGGTGGCAGGCTTCCGCTGGCCTGACCTCCGCTTCAGGACCACCACAACCCCCTTGCCATCGGCAGCGGGCTCGACACCCACCGTCTTGCGGTGTATCAGCCCGTTGTAGCGGTAGGAGTTGCGGGCTTTCAGGTTATTAGGCTCGGTGCTGTACGTCTGCATGTTCCTCTTGATCAGGAAACTGGAGCAGTTCCGCACGACCATCCATTGCAGATGCGCGGACATGGCGGCGGCTCCTCTCCCTACCGGGGCCAGAGACGGAAAGAGCGTCTATAGTACTTTTAATATTCTTCAGCAACATGATAATTAAAATGTAACAATTCTTCTGTGGTCTTTCTTAGTCATCATCTAACTTTTACATGCACATGAACAATAGAAAATACCATGGCTTGGGGCAAGTTCTCCTTAGTCTTCAAACTGACAACTTTTCTTATCATCCTCTTAAGTATATCTTGTACACCATATTTGCCCATTGCAATACATAGTTTAATATCTTGACTATTGCTTCCCTGAGCATTGACTATGGATCTAAGCAAAATGAAATCCTTGGCAACTTTGATCTTGTCTCTGTTTCTCATGATGTTGTATACTTGACCAGTTGTGAGTATTTTGGTTTTCTTTGCATTCAGTCACAATCCCACTTATCAAGTTCTTCTCTATTTCAGTAAGCAAGGTTGTATCATTTGTATATCGCAGGTTTTTTAATAATCTTCACATTTTAATATTTTGGTTAATAATAGTATCTATAATTTGTAGCAATATATATTTTACTTATCTTGTAGTTATAATGAATCTATCACCAACAGAACTTAAACCAGATGTCAGAGAAAGTTCCAGAAACCATAGTTCTCTATTAAGTACACAGAAGAGAAATGATATATACAGTCCTGAATCACTACTATACTTTCTCTGCAGACATTGCTCTGGGAGAGAGACAAATGCTTAGTCTTCATGGCACCATTCAGTTGTTGCCACATTTACTCAAATGACAACTAATATAGATATTAATGACAGCTGTGATTTTTGATGGAGAGTCTTAGTGAATTTTAAGTTTGGAGATTTTGATAGCTGAATAACTATAATTAACTAGAAAAAATCAACAACAACACCCACACAAATAGGATTCTGGGTTGTTAAGTTTCTTTTCTGATGTATTTTGTGATATACTTTAGTATATACCATAAGGAAGAAAATTGGAAAAAGTATGAGTGAGCAATATTTTTTTATTCAAATTCACTTAAAATCATAACATAACTATTATTAGAATCAAATTCAAATTTCACTAAATAATTAAGAGGGAAACATTAGGAGACAGAATAAAAATTATGTATTCTACATAGTATATTATACTGCAATATCCCAAGGTCTCCCAGGGGCAATATTATCTGCAAATGAAGCGGAGAAAACATTTTCAATCTCTTCATGTGTTGTATTTCCAGGAATGAATTGTGCAATACAAATTGTTTTACATAAGAGACCTGGTTTACTAATATTCTATATTAAGGTTCTGATTATTACTAACACAATTAACGTGGGTTGTGCTTGTAATGCATGTAGCTAAATACCTGGAAATTTCATCAGTCTTGAAGTTACCATAGCATAATATTCACTAATTGGAAAGCTGTTGACTTTGGTGGAAGCAAGTCATGCTCTTTTTAAGTTTGTGCTTGACCCTCGAACTTAGTTTAATTTACCTGATTCTAAAAATTAAAATGATCTTTGATCGTTTTGAATCTTTAACTTTTATGCATTTATTAAATATTTTGCTAATTGGTTCTGAGTCTCTGGGTACAATTTGAAGGATTAGAAATTACTTATATTTCTATAATAGAATAAGCCACTTGATCTTCAAGTCAACATACAGCATATTAATTGACTGCATTTCCACATTGGCAGTCTACACAAATAAATTGCTATAATTCAATTAGCTTGACTTTGCTTCAGCAAGCATAACAACATGCAAAGTGATAATATCTTCAGTTCAGAATAGCTAGATTCTAAGAATCCTAATAAGTTTCCATGCATACATTTTTTCAAATAATGTTTTTTATTTTGCTCTCGCAGTTTTTCAGAGTAAACTATAATTGCTTTGGGGAAAGCTGCCCTTTCTGTACCTAGGTGAGGTGAATCTAAGCAAACCAACTTTAAATTTTTTTTACTTTGATATAAACTTAAAGTTGCAATTCCCCAGCCCCCCACTAAATTGGTGCACAGCTGGATGGAAAGTGTGTTTTAGATCTTCTTCTGCCCATAAAAAGGGAGAAAAATTACCTTGTTCCTATCATGAGTGCTAAACATAAAAACTAACATTATTATGGAAATGCCTCACATTTTTCACATACTTCCCCAAGAAAACATAACAGATAAGACTGGTTTAATCAATCAGTGTATCTATTTAATCATGGGGATTCTTCTTCCTTAACATGCATTTTCCTGTCCTTTTGAAAGTAAACAAATGTGTTCTGATGATTAAAAGCATGCTATATGTTTTAATGTGATATATTCTTTTAGACATGATAATAGGTTGTCAAGGTCAATACATAAGATTTTCAGAACCTTAATGTGGTAGAATAAATAGAACTGCTTGAGGCTGTGAATTTAGGGCTTTGCTTTCAAGTCACAGCTCATTTTTCCCTGCCATTTACTTGGAGAAAATCTTTCAGCTTGTATAGTTAAATTGTTCACATGTCACATGTCAGCCCTGCCCTATTTTGCTACCTGAATTGTTGTGAGACATTGTTGTATTAGACTAATATTGACAGTTGAAAGTACTATGGACATGTTAGACATTGCTATATGTCTAAAGTGGATTTGCTGTAAAGTTATTCAGAATATTTCTCATTGCAGGTTTTTGATGGCCAATCCATTTTAACACATTAGCATATGACAGCAGAAATATTTTATTAATATGACTCGGTTTTATTTTTCTGTGTTAAAAAGAAAATGTGCTCTCAGGAAATATCATGTATCCATATTAAGATCCTTTAGAAGTATTAACAATGTCTTAGAGAGTTGTTTTCCTATAAGTCAGCATGGCTTAGTGGGCTAATCAGAATATTTAAATATTTAAATCCCACTTGCTATAATGTGCCTCTTTGTCATTCCCTAAGATACTTAACCTTGGTGAGTTTTATCTGAAAAATGAGCCTGCAGAATTTCATTAGTTAAGGTCCCTAACAATAATGCGTCATACATCATACTATTTGTAAAGATGTAGATATAGGGTTATAAAAGACATAACTGTCATTTGTATATAATTTGTCCAAATGTATATATGAAAATTCCCGAAGCACAGGTAGGCAATGGGTGAACAATAGAATCTTTAACCAAGAGGCCTGCATTCAAGCAGTTTATCATTTCAATAGAGGGAAAGAGAAAGCAATGTGAAATCTGCTTTCAGAAGCCACATTTGAAGGAGCCAGAGTGAAGAGAACAATGTGAAAAGTGTATAACTTCAATAAATCATAAGTATAAATTAAAGCAATAGTGAAATAACAGAATGACATTTGTTAATTCACCAAAGCACAACATGTTGTACAAGCTCTTTGTAAAGATGTGGGTATAGGAAACAAATATAGTCTTTCTGTAAGGGCAAGCTTACCCACAGCTTTCATAGTTAGAAGGCAAAAATTGTCACAGACAGTAAGACCAACATTTCTAAATCCTCTTTTATCTGTTTCTTATGTCTTCTTTAATTTTCTAACAGGCCAACTGGTGCCTTTGTTTAATTTATATAATACGCAAAATTATAGTTTAGAGTTTAGAAATACCTCTAAAATATCCACACATCTTTATAAAACATGTTTGAGAGCCCATGACTTTATATTGAGTCCAATGTGATTTCCCTAATTGTAGGAAAGTTGTTGATCTATATCGTTTATTTTGGAAAAAGAATCATGAGGAAAAAAAACACATTTTCTAAGTATCTACTTCAAATGTTTGTAATGTGAACCAAAAGCAAACTCACTGCTAGTGCGTCAATTCTGGCTCATAGATGCATATTGCATGCACTGAAAGTTCATAAATTAGTTCACACTGTTGGAAATTACAATACAATACAATGAGATATATTTAAGTTAGTCACAAGATTAACTTTTCTTTTTTAGATTCTGTGTGGGAAGCAGAAGGATTTCTCCCAAGTTGTCTACCCCAAATACATGCCAAACTTAGCTGCTTGCAAATGACTATACACTTGGAGGCCATCAGGAGTAGATCCGGGTCATTCTCCCTAAGAGCTATCAGCCATCTAGAGCAAGCAGACACCACTGTTTATCCCACAACATATAGAGCCCGCTCCCTGCTGATAAGGATAGTAGTTGTCTGTTTCCTTGTAGGACACACCAGAGAGGTCAAACCTGCCCAAGGATGACCAAGGTTAGGAGGCCATCATGAATCTAGGGTCTTCCCATCTTGTCACATGTACACCCCTAGACCTCCCCATTCCTATGGGCACACTCCTAGCTCATCCCCTTTCTGTCACACTTATGCCTATCATACATCCCCTTCCTACGATGTGTATGCCTATTGTACTGCCCCTTCCTGTGATGTGTGGTTACCTGTAACCATGCCTCTTAAAGGAGATATAACGCTTGGTTAGTAATAAAGTTGGCGCTCTGTCCTGCTCTCACTCCCAGGCGCTTGCCTGCTCTCGCTCCCGGGGCTCTCTCCTGCTCTCTTGGCTGGGCTCCCCCCACGAGGACCACCAAGCAGGGCTGAGGTGAGCATGCTACCATGAGTTGTGTCTGACTCCATTATTCCAATCTTTCTTCTATCTCTCATGCTCTCTCTGACTTTACTATAATCTTTACTTATTATCACTGTACAATTGTGCCTACCAGACCTGTGATGATTTGTGGGGGACCCTCCTCTCCCCACAGCTTCAGCAAACAGAAATTAATTTTCTCACAGTTCAGTAGGTTAAATGTCAAAATTCTAAATACTGGCTCTTTGGGAAGGACTTCTTTCTATATGGGCCTTGGAAGAAAATCCTTGTATCTTCAGTCTTTACTTTCTAGTTCTTTGGAGCTCTCCATTTGTCTTAGTAGCTATCTTACCTCATCTCTGCTTCGAATCTCTTTTACATACCTCAAAGTAGACTGACTCAATATATACCCTATAATAACCCTGCCTCTTTCACAAAACAAAGATAAGCAAGATAAAAAATTTTAATGAAACCTCTAATATCTCATTTAGTAAGGACATCTACATTACCATAAAATGTATTGACATTGACATGTCAATACAATAAGAAGGTAGT